AAATTTTCCATCCTGTATATGAAGTTAGTTTAGTTTAGATTTCCTTCTGTAGTAACACTGAAGCAATACGGGTCTTATTAGACCTCTAGGGAAAACAGCTTAGAGATATCCAGTACAGATAAAGTTGGCTTAAATTAGTGGAATGCGCGTAATGGATATGTTGAACTGATAAAGGTACCAAAAGTAATCAGTATATACCTTTATTTTTCTTTTTTCGACGGCGATTTCCTTCATAAAGTAAAGACGCCAATACCAGTCCGCACAGAATAACGGTACAGTATAACATGGACTTATAAGTATGACTTGAAGTTGGATCAAATAATTTGGTTGATCGAGTCAGAGATTCACTGAGCTTTGGTTCCTGGAATGAAAATATGGAAAAAACAACAAATAGTAGATAGCGAACTGGGAAACTATACAGCGGCCGTGGCCTAGTTCCTGCCTTTCGGTTCCGCTACGCGCACTTGCTTGGGAAGCCTGGGGAGAGGTGGAAGCGAGAAGGCCTAGCAAATGTCCTTCTGGGACAAATGTGCTGAAAGTTCGGAATTAACGAATTTTGCTAGGCCTTCTCCATTCTCGTACCCAGAGCCCTTCTTACGCGCGGGTAGAAGGGCTTTGGGTACGAGAATGGGCCTTCTCCAGACGCTCAGAACCGAAACCGAACAACCCAGGCGAGAAGGCCTGGGCTACAGCGGCCGCTTGTACGAAGGTCGGATGACGCTAACCACCGCGGATGGTGATTTTTTCAACCTTTGTAAACCTACATGAACCCGACAAGTAGTATAAAAACCATTAAAGGGTTATTGTCAACCACAATGCATTTGTTTACATCTTGCTGAAATAGCTGCAATTTTAGTATAAAAAAGTTAAAATGAGCAAGTATAACCATAGGATGGTAGTAATATATTATGGATTGAAAACCAAAACATCTATTATTCCGCCATTAAAATGGCCACCAAGCAGGTTTGGGGGCACAATGCATTGTGGTTGACAATGACTCTTTAACTTATAAACAGCTAGAGGGTACGTACAGATTTTTCAAGGACTTTCAAGGCCATATATCAGGACTATAAAAGGGACTATAAAAGGCTGAAAAGGACTATAAAAGGCTGAAAAGAAAGAGTCAAAAGTCAGTAAAATGTGACATTGTTCAAAACGCAATTTTATTGTCAATATTTGCATGTCGACATTTTTAATCTAACACTGACGTCCTTAAAGGCACAGTTCAGCCTGTTGAACGATGGTTTTTAAGGCGCATTTCAGCCCTTTTAATTGAAAAAACTAACTAGGAAAATCAATTAAGCATAATTCAAGATCACCAAACTTAACATTTTAAACACTTATATTGTTAAAAACATCGAGTTTACTGATTTTGAATTATGCTTAATTGATTTTCCTAGTTAGTTTTTTCAATTAAAAGGGCTCAAATGCGCCTTAAAACCATCGTTCAAAAGGCTGAACTGTGCCTTTAATTTTCGCGCTTGCCTTTGAAGCTGGGAGACTGGGGTTCAGTCCTTGGTCGGAACTCTACTCAAGGTCTTAAAGTAATTGAGGAGAAAGAGCTACCTTTGCATTGACATGGTAAATGGATAACGACGTTGAATCGTATAGGTTACCCGGATATCAATAGACAATTCCCATTATAGACAAATTTTAAAACTAGGCAAGGAGATGCAAATAAATCACCACAGCTAGAAAGAGCATACTAAAATTAGTAAAATTACAAAGTTTGGTTGCGAAATGTTGTAAAATGAGGAAAATATAGCCTTGCAAAGTTCGCAAATTTTGTATACGTTTGTATTGCGTGCGGCAATTCCTGCCACATTCCTACCACATTTGGGCCGAAAATGGTAGCAATTTCCGCACGCAATACAAAAGTATACAAAATTTGCAAATTTTGCAAGGCTATATTTTCCGCATTTTACAACGTTTCGCAACCAAACTTTGCAAATTCACTCATTTTTATATGCTCTTTCTAGCTGTGGTGATTTATTTGCATCTCCTTGCCTAGTTTTAAAATTAGTCTCTAATGGGAATTGTCTATTGGGCAATAATAGCCTGTTGGGAAATCCGCTCACCAATGAGTGAGACTTTCAATAAACTGGACTATTAGGGCACCATGCATTCGAGAACATGTACTGCCTCTGAACAGTCACACCAAAAGACCAACAAAGATATCTCATTGCCAACAAAACTAAATAAATCTATACCTCAATGGCATCGACAACTTTACGTAACTCCGCAAACACCATGGCACGATTTTCCTTGAGAAATTTTGTGAAACATGTCTGTAATTTCATTGCGTCCCCAGCCAAGACCATACCATACGCTGACTTATGATCAAAAATCTTTCTTACACGAAAGTATTCGCTGAACAATTCTTTTCTTGCGCCGGCGACGTATGTGTCCACTACTAGACCATCTACCTTCCGATCTTTCAAGGCTGACACCATATCTTCTACATTGTAACACACCGCTGAATAAAATATAATTTATTGTAAGGTATTATACAAGAACAATTGCACAAATATTCAACGGTCAAGTCGACACTTTCATGTAGAAGCCCAAAATATTTTCAAAACTAATATCTTTCACCTTTAAAAGACTATTAGTATTTATTATAGTACTATAATATAGTGTACCAATTTCCCAAACCAAGCACGGAAGAGCATATCTGTTCAGCAAATTAGTAAATTTTCTCATAATTTCAGTAATTTTACTTAATACTTTGAGTCATTGTGCATGGGTGCATTATTTAACAGAAGTCTTTAAGTGTACATGTATAAAATAGAACTACTATACACAGGGTCATACATGTATGAAATATAACTACTATACATAGGGCCGTAGCGACCGGGGGTGTGGAGGGGGAGGGGGGTGCAACACCCCTAATAATTGCTCTTTCAGGTAGATTTCCAGTAGATTTTCAGGTAAATTCAAGTAATTCATAGGGCATAAAAAAGTGAACTCTATGCTCTGAATCAGAAGTAGAGTTAACAATCGACCAACTAAAGACGTTGAGACGCGTCGTAACAGGGGGACATTGCCAAGTACCCTTTCTGACGATCTGGAGACTCCAAATTTCCAAAATTTTCTCAATTTTCGTAGTCACATTAAACTGTAAGTAATAATACTTATCTTCATTGTTAAGCAATAATAAAATACTGAAATATTGGGTAGGAAAGACTCTAAAAATGTCATTTCCGACGGTCTTACGTCACTTACTTCGTCCAACTTTGGCATTACGACGAATTGCAAAGTTGTATTGAGGAGAATTTAAAATGGCTGCAATCTGAAAAACGAAATTTAAACTCTATTTGTTAAAAAATGTTTTGGAGGAACGGGAAATTACGAAAATATTACAACTTTGAAAACATTAATTTTTCCAGTTTTATAGCATATAGTTCAAGCAAGGACTAAAAGCTCAAAACCAACTAAGAATACCTGGAATTTAAAACAAAACAAGTTTTGGAACAGTAGAAATGTTTTAAAGTACTTTTTTCGATGTTGAGGAGCGGTGTGTTCTTCGTGACTTCGGCACGACCAAATTTTATCATGATCATTTTCCACGATACAAAACAGAAAGTCCTCAATTTTTTTCGCCACAAATACATATAAAACAGTCAGGAGTATTGATAAAACTGAACATGAGTTTATGATGCTCTCATCATATAAATCATTTCTTACTTGTTTTCCATACAAACTTCGATCAATCTTCAGAGAATACGTTGTCAAATGTCCCGCTATTAAACTAGTTAGGATGAGGATGACAACATGACCGGTTAACGTCCACACAACAGAAAATATTTTACCACCAACTGTTTTAGGACGACGGTCTCCATAACTAAAAAGACACACACACTCTTAATTTATAAATGACTGGCAACTTTCATGCATTGATCCCGGCTTTATGCGAAGTGTTTTTAGGCCAACTGCAAGGGCCTAGCCTATTGCAATCGAAGAAAATCTTTCTCAAATTCATTCAACAATAAAGCGGCAATGACATAACTTTAAATTTTAAATTATTTTTCCCCATATTTGACTTGGTAGCTTGCAATCGATTGATGGCTTGCAATCAATAAATGTTTTGAGATTTACAAGAAGTGCAAACCAACAATAAGAATCTTAAGTTCTTTGTACGTTATACATGCCGATAAAACATAGTTCATATTATTAGTTCATATTACTAGCATAGTTCATATTATTAGCACTGATGAAGATCCGGGCTTACGGATCGAAAGCTTTGCAGTAATAAATTTACGTGGTGTTTCCACAGACAAAACTATTAAAATAAGAATCTTACCCGACAGTGGAAGCTGTCACGAAAGCCCACCAGATGCCATGGTAAATACCCAACACAAATCTTGGAGGAAATTGTTCCGGGTTTGATCGAAACTCCTAAATTTGAAAAAGTAAATAGTAGTACAGGACCTATCGATGATAAGATCAAATTTTTGCCATTAGCGAACTTAAGCAAGGTTTAATCTAGTACGGCGACGTGACAAGAAACAGCCTTAAATTTTACACTTTTATAATTGAAAGGAACTACCGTTATTAAGAACTTCAACAGACCGGACGAAAGTGCAACGAGGACGACTAATAATATCATATTAATACACGAAACTAAACGAAGTTTTAGACGTTGCCGTCGGCGTTGCTCTATTTACAACGGCAAAATACAGATTATCACGTCTTGTATACAACGCTTATACATTTCAAACTTGGACAACTGCTACTTGGAATGGACGACTTGCGCTTTAGAAAAATTTTTAATCTGGGAATAACAAAGGATATTTTCGGAAAGAAGTTATCAAAATTAGAAAAACTGCAAAGTTTGGTTGCAAAATGTTGTAAAATACGGAAAATATAGCCCTGCGAAGTTGGCAAATTTGTATACATTTCTATTACGTGCGGAAATTGGTAACTAATTTAGTTACCAATTCACGCACGTAATACAAAAGAAAACAAATTTGCCAACTTTGAAAGGCTATATTTCCGTATTTTACAACATTTCGCAACCAACCCTTTGTAATATTACTAATTCCAAGACGCTCTTTCTAGCTGTGGTGATAGATTTCGTTGTTCTTACTTAGATTAAAATTTAGTCTAAAGCGCAAGTCGTCCAATGGGTCTTAAACATGTGTTAACCGCAATCCTTAAACTGTATTATTGTTCATACAATGATATGATGGATAATAAACGAAAAGAGTTCTTCTGCAATCATTTGGTTCAACGAGTTTGTTTACTGTCGCCTACATGCTTAATGGTCGAGGAACTTAGCTGACAGGAAGGTCTCAGGGCTAACACTGTGATGAATACATGACTGATCCGAACCCAAATAGCGTGGTATGAAATGTCATCGAAGCAACTTTCATAGCAAAGTTAAAAAGACTTGTTTTTGTTAAAAAGAGTTGACTAGCCGTCAAACTACAAATTTAAATTTTCCTGGTTTATAATCTCCCAGTATAGCAATTTATGATGAGAGGACTGGGGACGAGTGTTAAAAAGTGCCCAAATTAGGAAATGAACCAAATCACTAAAAAGACCACCTCAAAATATTACTAAGTATATAAAGTTTGAAGACGTTTACATAAATACCCTTCGAATAATAAGCTTTCGAAAATTGTGAAATTACTGATATTATTTAAAAGACTGTTTTTGGGACGCGCGTCCCAAAAACAAAAATTACAGTACATTTCATACTGTAAATATTGCGATTTTCGAAAGCTTATTATTCGAAGGGTATTCATGTAAATGTCTTCAAACTATGTATACTCAGTAATTTTGAGGTGGTCTTTTTAGTGATTTGGTTTATTTCTTAATTTGGGCACTTTTTAACACTCGTTCCAGTCCACTCATCAACGTCGGAAAGCTAATTGTTAGCGGTCCTCCAACATGACAGCCATGACGTCAAGTGCAAACCAAGAACTAGACTTACCAGAAACCATATGACAAAACCAGCCAGTATAGAAAACACCAAGCTCAATATAAGCAAAGGCCAGCAGCTAAATATCAGTGTAACCAATATATCTGTAGACGTTTTGACGGGTTCACGATTTACCACATATGCTTCGCCAGGTGAATTTATGACTGGTACATAACCATACAAGGCACCATACGTCTCCTGGTCTGAACTACCATACACTGGAAAACTTAGGTCACTTTCACTTATACCATTGCGTACATCTTCAAGCGAATTCCTGACACTATCCTTCGTCAAAAACTCGACTTTTGTGGTTCTATGTGTCCCACAAGACTGGCAACAGGATGTGACCATATTATGTAATACAACAGGGAACACTCCAGCTAATTTTGAGTCCTCCGTCAGATCAATGTATGGTTTTATTTTCCACCAGTTTGTTGACATGTTCACGTGACATCTGCAGGTGTCTGAAATTCAGGGAGGTTTGTAATCAAACAACAATTAAGCCGTCAACATGTTGTGTTCGCACTGCTTGTCCCAAGTTGTCAACAAGTTTGGAACAAGCTGTTAATAACTTGTAACAACCTTTTGATATTATCAGACTTGTTGCAAGATTGTTCCAACAAGTCTGATACAGTCATGAAATAACAATATTGTTACAACGTTATGTCGTCAACCTTGTAACATTCTTGTTATATCATTATTGCATCGGACTTGTTAGAACAACCTTGTAACAAGTCTGATAATGCCATCGAGCTTGTTACAGGTTGTTAACAGCTTGTTCCAAACTTGTTACAATAACTGAAAACAAGCAGTGCTTACAAAACTTGTCGATAGCTTGTGAACAGATTTGTAACAACATGTTACCAGCTTGTTAACACCAACTTGTTATACACATAAAAACGCACAAGTTGTTATAGGTCTGCAAACAAGTTAACTAGTTATGAATGCTCGGAGTATATGCACCCTAATCTAAACATGCCTAACTCATCCACTCGTTCACATAAATCAGGAGAAGAAAATCGCACCTAAAATCGCAGCCAAAATTGCAAGTGCAAACGGGCTTTAACATACCTCCAACAACAGCCTTACTAAAGACTCCATTGCCGACTTTTGTCTTGGCGAACATGGTCAACTTGTATCGAGTGTAAGACGCCAAGTTACGTATTTCCACCGAATTAACATGAGCGGGTACATTCAATGTGGAAAACCGACTTTCTGTTATTTTAACCCCGGCGCCCTCTTCAATTGCTTGATAACGCACTGTGTAACCAGACAGAATGCCGTGTATGTAGTCCTGGGGAACTGGATCCCACGATAGCTGTAAGCTTGTTGAAGATGTTCGATTGACGACGCGAAGATTTGTCGGGGCACGTGACGGCACTAGAATAGAGATATTTTTAAATGTATTTAATGTTGTGCACACAGGGTGTGTTTTTCCGCCATTTTGGGGGTATTGCCTCTCCCAAGTCCGAGAGTGTGCGCATCGTGAAAAGCGATTTTTTATCAGCATGGTTGTGTCTCTTAAGGTCCAGACACACCGGACGCGATTCGACAACGCGACGCGATTTTTCGATTTTCGCTGACCAATAACTTGGATTCTAGTTTAAATTTTCCAAATATTTAGAAGCGGTATAACATATTGAGTTATTTGGTCTACATATCTTTCAAAATTTGCTCTCACTGGCTGTTTTATTAACTTTCTCAAATTCATTAATAATTCATGAGCAATTCAGCCAATGATAATCACTTATTTGATCACAAGATGCCATTTGGATACTTGATGAAAGTCACTAGTGTTTTCATCAAATATCTTAATTACGCATGCAAAATTACTTGAATAGAATTCCTAATTACGTTATGCTTGGTTAAGAATTCCATTCAAATCAGCAAACGAAAATATTCTGTTACGTTTCGATTCAATTGTTTTCTCGTGTTTGGATATCCCGGTGAAACACTCGCTCTAGTTGTTCATATATTACTTCAAAAACTAAAAAATCGCGTCGCGTTGCGAATCGCGTCCGGTGTGTCTGCACCTTAATGGTATAGTTACAACTTTGCTATTCACATTGTTTAGATTCTCTGGATTCTCCGACGTGGGAAGACAGTACCTCAAAAATGGCGGATATTGAAAATGTATCCGGACATTGGAAAGTAATCGTATTAGAGATGTTCAACTATCGACGGACATTTTTTGCCAGTGGTTATTTTAAAACATTTTACTATATGCTGTAAAGGAATCTATTGAAGACATCCAAGTGAATTTCCTTTCATTTAAAATACATCAGTATTTCAAGTTTCAAATAATCTATTAATCTTCTAATAATCTATTAATCTTCAATAATGATAATCTATAAATCTAACGATCTATTAATGATCTAATAATGTTTCTAATAATTTATTAAGATAGTTATTATGGGGGAAAATTGCTGCCGAATTGTAAAATATCGACTTCGCAATTTTTTTGTCTAAGATATTTTTTTAAAATTGCAAGGACTGCTAAAGCATTAGAGCAAATTTGTAAAATATTTTCACATACGATCCTCTGCAGTTAAGATATTCACAAATTGACTATAAGGTCCAACACCCTGTTCATTGTAACCAGCAATTGTTATCGAGTATTTTGTAAACATCTTTAAACTTTCGATAATATAACTGTTTTTATCAGGGCCAACAGTGACGCTGTATACTTGGTTGTCGTTTCTGCTAATGTCTTTCTTGATTCTAGAGATGGGACTCCGGGTTGTCATGGAGTAATTCAGACGGTAACCCAGTAATATGCCATTCATGTGGGCGAATGGTATGGCTTTCCACCTTACTGTGACGCTAGTGGATGTAACCGAGCCTTCGAAAACCTCTAAAGGTGGTGCATCGGGAACTAAACATGAAGTGAAATTATGTCAGCACATAAATAACTTAACCAAGCTTACAACCATAAATTAATTACACGTATACACACGCAAAAATATCACATCTTGTAGCAAGTCTGCCAACAAACCGTCAACAAGTTGTGTTCGCACTGCCTGTCCCAAGTTGTCAACGAGTTTGGAACAAGCTGTGAACAACTTGTAACAATCTTGTTGATATTATCAGATTTGTTGCAAGGTCGTTCCAACAAGTCCGATACAGTCATGATGTAACAATATTGTTACAACCTTGTGTCGTCAACCTTGTAACATTCTTGTTATATCATGATTGTATCAGACTTGATAGAACAACCTTGTACCAAGTCTGATAATGCCATCAAGCTTGTGACGAGTTGTTCACAGCTTGTTCCAAACTTGTTACAACAACTTTCCACGATACAAAATTGTTGTTGATAGCGGCTTGTCCACAAGTTGCTGCAAAGTTGTTGATCTCAACAAACTTGTTATCTTCTTGCAATTCAACAACTTGTCAACAAGTTGTGAGTGCCAACCTTGCAGTAACTTGATAGAATAGCAGCGTTGTCACAACCTGTTTACAAGCTTGCTACAAGCCTGGGGCGAACACGACAAGATGTGAGATTTTTACGTGTGTACCAGCCTTTTATTTCCCTTACCGTCATCCTTTGTGGTCATATTATATTCAGGACATTGCGGAATCTCATAATTCCTAACGGATGCATCAATAGACGCCCTTACAGATATCCAGTAAGTCATACTCTCCTCCAGTCCCCCAAGACGAAAAGCAGTGTGGGTAGACCTCGTGTTTGTCACATGCACGTCACGTGAAAATCTCACGTGATCAATTCGGTAGAGAATCTCGTAAGATGCGAGGCCGCCAGGGACTAGGTCCGAATTCAAAGCTTGCCACGTGATCTCCACACTCTTTGAAGTGACGTCGAAAAGAGAAATATTTGAAAGACAAACTTGAGGATCTGAAAAATAACAGTTTATTTTTTATTAGGAAAAAATGTTACTCTGTGTGTTCTTCTACCACAGTTAATATAAGTCTGCAAACATGTTGTTACAAATCTGTTCACAAGCTGTCGACAAGTTGTGTTCTTACTGCTTGTTCCTAGATGTTGTAACAAGTTTGGAACAGGCTGTTAACAACTTGTAACAAGCTTGATGGCATTATCAGTCTTGTTACAAGGTTGTTCTAACAAGTCTGATACAGTCATGATATAACAAGAATGTTACAAGGTTGACGACATAACCTTGCAACAAGTCTGATAATATCAACAAGGTTGTCGCAAGTTGTTAACAGCTTGTTCCAAACTTGTTGACAACTTGGGACAAGCAGTGCGAACACAACTTGTTGACGACTTGTTGGCAGACTTGCTACAAGATGTGAGATTTTTGTTCTTGTAGCAAGTCTGCTTAACGTTTCTTTGGTTGTCCACCCTCACGAAACATGGCTAGGAAACAATGTTCCCTGACCTATTAATGATATGGATATTAATCACTTTTTTGTTTATCATACTTCATATTTCTACACGTGAATGCTTAGCTCTTCAGTTATTCCAGGCGGTAAATGTGGTTTAATCTTTTTATATAATAGAATGTAATTGATGCTGAAATATTCTATACCTCCAAAAAGAGTTCGACCACTGGTTTGGACCGAGAGAGGACCCTCGCCTTTGCTTGTCGCTCCTTGAACTTCAAACTCGTACACCGTGCTTTTGTTCAGTCCAGTAAAAGTAAGGTAATTCTTCTCTGTATTCAAAACTCCCATTTTCCTTGATGTTGTGTAGAGGTGGACACGGTAGTATTTTATTTCTCCCCAAGTATTGTTCAAACCCAACCAGAATACTGTTAGATTGTTTGGACCCGTGCTAAATGAAGACACATTTTCTGGTGCTGCTTTTGGAGCTAAAATAAGCATGAATTCTCATTAGCTATCGCCTGGGGTCCATGAGAAGCCCTCGACTTTCAGGAGGGGGAGGGACAGTGAGGCTGGATCTTGGCAATGAAATTGCCATTGTGGACTATGTGTACTGTACCACGAATGGTAAAATGGTGAACAAAAAAATTCTCATACTTTCCCATTTCTTCACTGATGTATACGCGGGCTCGCATCACGGCACTGCATGCTACCTCAGCGGACACGCAACTGGCTGTGATTGCCATCGGGTTAGCATCTTGCTTTAAAACCAGTTTCCCAACTTGTTATCCTTATGTGGATTGGATAACCCGAGTTGAGTGTAGACCTATAATATTTCTAAAACTCCAAATCAGGCATCAGATTGACCCATCTCAAATAATGGTAATGTTGAGATAGTAGCATTGCGGACTTCAGATGAGATTGGGCAGTAAGGCTCCCTCATGCACCACCTCAAGGAAAACCTGTACCTCTCCTTGCAGATGAGGCTAGATCCGCCTTTGTAATACAGCTGGTCGATCAATCAACTAATGAAGTTTATTAAAGCCTAGTAGCCTACCAGATTCGTCTGTTCTAGCAAACGCAGGATAACCGAAGTTTCCCTCTCCAAACTTGTTATACGCAGCAATTTCCGCACTGTAGTTGCTGTAAATTCTCAATCCACTAAGTATGGCATGATGAGAGCGAGCAGAAATATAAAATGTCTTCGGTTCTGCAAATATTCCGCGACAGGCAAGACACTGAACCCGTATTGCATATCCTTCTGCTATACCGTGCTTCTTTGGAATGCGAGACCATTGTAATTTCAGAGTTGTTGAATTGATCGTTTTAATGGATTGAATCTCTGGAGAACTTGTAGGCACTGTAAAGACATTAGACAATTGCAAGACTTTCAATACAAAACGCAATACAAAAAGAAGGAAATCTAAACTAAACGTTCCATCTCTAATTGGTCCAGTGACACTACAGAGGGTAAGGCAGGAAACCTAAACTATAAAAAAAACTTTCTAAATGCCCGTATTCGCAACTGTCCAGTCACGCGCATACGTGATAAAAAGCCGATATAAACAGTATAAACAAAAGATAATGTAAAACGTAACAGAACGGCGAACATGCAGATTTGGCCATCTCAAATAATGGTAATGTTGGGTTACAGACTACAGAGGAAAGTGGGCAGTAAGGCTCTCTCATGCACCACCCCATGGAAAACCTACACTTCTTCTTGCAGACGAGGCTAGATCCGCCCCTGTTTGATACACGTATTGTATATTGCGGGAATCGAAAGATGTGCCTTATGCAAAGATGAAAAACACATGCGCCAGTACCATCAGGATTCAGACTCACCGTCATTCAAATAAAATCTTCGCCAAACTCTCGGTCCAACGCCAACGGTTGTAAATGCTGCCACATACGCTTTATAGTCGACAAAACGTGTCAAATTTTTGGCCAACCAGAATTGGTCCGTTATATGTGAGACATTCACGGTAGTGTAGTTTACTGTGGATATGTTTTGTAAGCCATAGGATACACTGTAGCCTTTAGGCTCACCACACCATCCAGTGCGGTTTAATGGTGACCATACCAAGCTGTAGGTCAGTGTTTGGGACAACTTTAGAAACAGATACCTTGGTGCAAAGGAAGGTGCTGGAAAGGAAATATTTCAAAATTAGCCATGAGGATTTTATTTCTTTTCATACTTTATTTCATTCTTGCACAGGCAATTACAATCAACTTATATTATCCGGAACAGTTTGTTGTTACATTGATAATGTGTATATATATCAATAGGAACAACACCAATTCATTCATGCTTGTGATACAGAGCAAACGTTGTTTCACAACAAGGAGGATGAAGTTGTAAAAAGTAATAAAAGCGCATTACAAAATGTTCAATTTCTAAATGCAGGAAATTCACAACTTTGATAAAAAAATCCTCTCGGCTTTAAGGTCGGAATTATAATTGGTATATCTTACTGTCTTCCAAAGTAGTAACTCCAATCCACGGACTGTATTCGCTGGTACCACCTGTGGACAGCACTGCCATACTGACGACATACTTATAGTATTTCTTCAATCCATCCATCTCGAAAACGAACTGTGTCGTATTAAAACGAGGGGAAAAATATTGCGTAGTGTTCTCAAACACATCCTTGAGATGGATTACATAATACTGTAGAACATCATGAAAGTGCTCAAGCATAACAACAGACCATGTCACCCTGAGCGATGTAGATGAGATGGCTGTCACTGAGATGTTCTGTGGTGGAGGAGGAGGTACTATAAAAGAAATTGAGCTTTAAGAATCAAAATTTAAAGCATTTTAATTATATGACAAATGAATATATTAAAGTAAAACTGCTAGAAATCATATCACAATTAATCAATTATCATAGTCACCACAATTATAATCACCACTATCATTGCAGTATAATCAACAATACCATCATCATCACCACAACAATCACCACCACATCAGCATCACCATCATTATCACCACAACCACTATACTATCAGCACCATCATCACATCAACACCATCATCACTACAACAACTACAACCAAAACCATCATCACAACCACTGTCATCGCCGTCACCACAACCACCATCATCATTACCATCATCACCATCACTACCGTAATCACCACAACCACCATCATCATTACCATCATCACCATCACCACCACCATCACCACCACCATCACCATCGCCACCACCATCACCATTACCATCATCACCATCACCACCACCACCACCATCACCATCACCACCACCATCACCATCGCCACCACCATCACCATTACCATCATCACCATCACCACCACGATTACCACAACGAACATTATCATTACCATCATCACCATTACCATCATCACCATCACCATCACCACCACCACCCGCCATCACCACCATCATCATTATTTTCATGATCGCTACTATCATCACCATCATCATATTCACCGTCAAAATTCCAATACCTACCACCGCCATCAAGATAAAAGAGTCACTCACCTTTTCCTAAGTTTGAGATTTCAACCGAGCTCTCCTCACTACTAACACCAACACCAACAGATGTTCGACCAGCAATGGTTATTAAATAACTGTAATACTTCTTAATATCATTCTTCTTATAGATGAACTGGTTAAATCCATTCAGTATCACAGTCTCATTCTGACTTGTCAGATGATCAAGGATTGTCAAAACATAACCCAGGATAACACCGTTCCTATCTACTTTCGGTATTGCTGTCCAAGTAACCAGAAGCGAAAAGCTAGAAGTTTCTGTAACGGTGAGATTTTCTGGAACACCAGAGGGGACTATGAAAGGGAACAAAACGTGGATTAGTGCATATCCTCATGGATTAGTGTTAAACATAGTTTGATCATGCAGAGATAGTGTGTGTACCTGAACGAGCGCTACCTTAGAAATATTTCATTTTGTTTGGAAAGTACAGTTAGATCAGACAGTAGTGGTACATGTTGTGGGCTAAGCACGCTGCTGGGTTAAGCACGGTTACATCATGCGGATGTAGACTGTAGTGCGTGTTATTGAATATGGCTAACAATAAAGTGATATTATATGTTTCACTATGGAGTTAAAACGTGGTTAGGTACTTAGATCATACAAAGGGGGTAAAAAGGTGTTGTACGTATCCTATATTAAATTGATCTGATGCTGTAAAAAACCCACAACTGAGCATATATTTAAAAGATCAGTATACGAGCACTACGAGACGCATTTGATCATTTCACCAGAAAAAATCTGCTACATAAATTATTAATTATTAATATACAATACAGAGATCTTGGGGCATCTCACTCAATTGCCAGAATAGATGTAGATGCTTTAGATGCAGAGATAGATGGTTTTTGTAAATGGATTACTCAAATATTTGAACGCAAATTTATATACATTATTGGACCTAAACAAGGGAAATTGCGACAAATATAACTTTAGACCGTCTGGCAGGAATCGAGGCCGCAGATTCAATTCCTGGCCAAGGACCTAAAGTTGCATTTTTTGCAATTGCTTCTGGTCAGGTGGGTTTAAGAATGTATATAAATTTGCGTATCTAATACGACACTGAAAATCATCCACTACGACACTTACCATCTTCTAAAGTTCTTGTACGAATCCAAGGAGTAAACATTCCCTGACCAACGGCTGTAAAAGCTGCGACTTTCACTGAATAATTGTGATATTCTTTTAAATCATTTATCAAAGCGTACTTTTCGGTATAGTTTGTGAAATTGTGCGATGTACCAGTGACTAGATCAAGTAGAACAACGCTATAGCCAAGTATTGAACCACTTTTTGGGTTTTTTGAAGGTTTTGACCACTTTAGCGAGAGACTCGTGGAGGACAATGGCCATACTGTAACATTTTGAGGTGCGAGAGGAACTGAAAGAAGCATGAACATACATTTATTAGATTTAACCAGGAGCAGTTGCCAGACATAGGTCCTCTGACAGGAATCGAACCTAGCGCTCTGCAATTCCGGTGCAGTGTTCTAACCAACTGAGCTACAGAGGCCAGTTGTTTCCACTCGAAATGTTTATCCACAAATTCTTTTTAATTGCCCCACCCCCTTTGCTAATGTCCCCCACTTTTCAGAACTTTCCCACCCCCCTCCCCCACCCCCTTTAAAGACAGCTGTTTCAGACAGCAAAATTGACAGGTTGAAGCTTGCAAATCTTACAAATCCTTTTTAAATCAGACACCCCCCTTTTGCTAATGTCCATCACTTTTCAGAACTTTCTTAGTCTGCCCCCCTTAACGACAGCTGTTTCAGACAGCAAAATTGACAGGTTGAAGCTTGCAAATCTTACAAATCCTTTTTAAATCAGACACCCCCCTTTTGCTAATATCCATCACTTTTCAGAACTTTCCAACTCCCCCCCCCC